GGAACTCACAATCTCATGGAAGTGAATGTTGAAAACTAAAAATAAATAAATTAATGAAAAAAAATCAGCATTTCTATAAAGCACAAAAAAGATAGGAAGAAATAAAAGAAATTTTGTTCAAAATAACTATTAAGCATAAGATATATGGGAGTTAATCTATCAAGGCATTCATAATATTTATATAAATCCAACTCTTTAAAGCACTCTTTACAGAAATAAAGTGAGATATATTGGAAAGAGAATCACTGCTTGAGTTTGGGCCATGCCAATATAATTAAAATAATAATAATTAAATGCATAGATTTATATAGATAACACTTAATGCTAAGGAGATACTTTTATTTATTTTGAGCAGGATTATTTATTTTGTTATAAAGTAACAAAACTTATTTGGAAGAAAAATATCTAGAATCTCAACAGGAAACAGTAAGGGTATGAATGAAAGAAGTGTTGCATTATGAAATATTAAACTATATTCTAAACTCATTAAAAATCATTTAGTGTTGGATACAACAACAGCTGAAAATTGGATCACTTGAACAGGCTAAATAAGATACAGAGAAGTCACTGAAAATAGTAACCTGGTATTTCATAAATCCAAGAATGTAAATTACTGGAGTAAAGATTTTCTTTTTTAATTTAGCAAGAACTGCTAGGAAAACTGGAAAGCATTTTAGCAGAAATTTGATTTGGCCCACCATATTACTGCGTTAAGCACAAAATGGATATGTGCCCTGAATATAAAATGTCATACCATAAAAAAAGAAGATAATGGAATCAGATTTTACAGGTGTGACTAGGGGGAGAATTATTTTTCCTTATTTCTTTAAAAAATTATTAATGTCTTTTGTTTTATATTATTTTCACTTCTGAATACATCTTTACTCCTTCCCTACCCAGGAAGCCATGCTTTATAATGAAAAAAAAAAATTTAATAAGGAAAAAAGCAATCATGCAAAATCAACCATCCATCATCCAAATCTTACATGATATTCAGTATTTCAAACCCATAATCCCATACCTTTGCAAAGAAGGGATGGAGAGGCATTTTCTCTCCAAAGAAAATTCTCCAAATTTTCTTCTCCAGATTCAGTTGAAAAATTTAAGTTTTTGACCTTTTGTTCTTCCATTTACATTGTCATATTGTCCTTTTTTCCCTCCCTAATTGATTTCCTATTTCAGTCTCTACAGAAGTTTTTCCAAACCTTCTCTTCCCTACTCAAGCCCACATTTCTCATTCCCCAACTCCCATTCTCTCAGTTGAGGAAGATCTTCTTTACTGAAAAAAATGGAGGCTATTCAACATGAGTTCCCTGTTTTTCATCTCAAAACTCCTTGAGATTAATTCCTACTCACTTGTCCTTTCTTTCAGTCCCTGACAAAGTGGTAGCCCTTGTCTTCACCAAAGTTAGCCCATGTATGCTTCTCTTTCCATCTTCAACAGATCAAATGCTCAGTCATTCCCTTCCCCCATTTCTTGAATCCTCTACTTCTCTCCATCATGAGATTCCTTCCCTACTGTCTTCAAACATGTCCAAGTCTCCCACATCCTTAAAAAAAAAAAATCCTTCACTAGACCCTACCACCCTCTCAAACAATTTCCTCCCTTTACTAGCCAAACTACTTTTAACAGTTGTCTGTATTTGCTACCTCTACTTTCGGTCCTTTCGATTTAACTTTGCATTCTGGCTTCTAACCTCATTACTCAACTGAAATACTCTCTCCAAAGTTACCAGTGATCTCTTTTTGTTGTTGTTGTTGTTGTTGTTGTTGTTGTTGTTGTTGTTGTTGTTGTTGTTGTTGTTTTTGTTTTTTGGGGGGTTTTTTTTAGGCAATTGGGGTTAAGTGACTTGCCCAGGGTCACACAGCTAGTAAGTGTCAAGTGTTTGGTCTGAGGCCGGATTTGAACTCAAGTCCTCCTGACTTCAGGGCCGGTGCTCTATCCACTGTGCCACCTGGCTGCCCCTCCAATGATCTCTTAATTGCCAAATCTGATGGTCTTTTCTCAGTCTTAATCCTTCTCAACATGCATCTGCTACATTTCACACTATTGACCACTATCTCCAAGGTAGTCTTTTCTTTGGGTTTTCATGACATTCCTGTTTGCTGGTTTGCCTCCTATCTCTCTGACCCTCAATCTCCTTTGCTGGCTCATTATCCACATCATGCCCCTTGACTGTGGGTGTTACCCAACCTTCTGCCCTGCATCCTCTTCTCTTTTCCATGTATATATATATATACACATATATATATTTTTTTTTCCCCTCTCATGGTAACCTCATCAACTTCCATGGTTAAACTATCATTTCTATACAAATTACTCCAGATCTTTCTATCTAGCCCTAGCCTCTCTAGTCTCTCTCCCCTAAGTTTTAGTCCTAAATCACCAGTTGCCTTTTGGACATTTCAAATTGGATAACCTGAAGACATCTTAAACTCAGTGTGTCTGAAACACTTTAATATCTTTCTTCCTAAACTTTCATCTCTTTTAGACTTCCCTATTTATGTAGGTAAAGGCACCACCATCTATCTAGTATTTCAGATTCTCATCCTCTTAGTGTTTAGGTCTCGGCATTATCTTGAACTCCTCACTCTCTTACTTCACGTGATCAGTTCTCCCCAAATCTTGCCATTTCTACCATCCCACCATTTCAGATCCAAGCCCTTTTGCCCATCCACACAACAACTGCTTTAGTTCAGGTCCTCAGCACTTCTCACCTAGATTATTGTAACAGCTTCCTAATTAGTCCCCTTACAGCAAATGTTTCTCCATTCCAGTCTGTAAAACACGCAGTGATAGCAACGTCATTTTCCTTTAGTACAGATCTGATCATGTGACACTTCCCCTCCTCCATTCAGCCAATTCCAGTGACTTCCTGTTGCCAGTAAAATATAAACTCCTCTGTTTACCTTTCAAAGCCTTTCACAACCTGGCCCCAACCTATCTTTCCAGTCTCCAGCCAAACTGGTCTCTGTTTCTCACATATGACATTCCATCTCCCATCTCCTTGCCTTGCACTGGCTGCCCCTCATGCCTGGAATAGACTCCCTCTTTACCTCTACTTCATGGAATCTCTCTCTTCCTGCAAGATCTACTTCAGCTACAATCTTCTACATAAAGACTTTCCTGGTTCTCCCAACTGATAGCGTACTCCCAAACTACATTCTATTGAACTAGTTTGTATATATTTGTGCCATATACATGCGTTGTCTCCTTCATTAGAATATTAGCTCAAAATAAATATTATTTTATTCTTTGTACTTATATCCCTAGTACCTAGCACAGTGTCTGTCACATAATCAATACTTATTAATTGTTTATGTTTTTCTACTTATGCTTACTTTGATCTGCATCATTTATTATGTCTTCCCATGCCTTTTCTTATTTCTTTATATTTGTTTTATTTTTCAGTAATTACATTCAAGTACACAGTTTGTTTATCCATTCTCCAGTTGATGGTCTACTTTGTTTTCAGTTCTCTGCTTACACAAAGTGCTGACAGGAATATTTAGGGCCTTTCTTTCTGCTTTTTATCTTCTTGGTAAGGGGAGAATTCTTAACTAGACAAGGAATAGAGGTATTTAAAGATAAAATCAACGTTTTTCATACATAAAATTAAAATTTTTACACATAAAATCAATGAACATAGAATTAGAAGAAAAATAGTAGAGTGGGAAAAGAAATTTACATCAAATATCATTGACAAAAGTCTGATATTCAAATTATATAAAGAATTGACACAAATAACACCAACCGTCATTTACCTATAGATAAGTCAAAGGATATGAGCAAATAATTTTCAAAAGGAGAATTATAAATTTATAAATGCCTACATAAAAATAGAATCCATGTGACTAACAATAAGAGAAATGCAAAAAAAAAAACCCAAAACCAATCCAAAGCTGATGTTTCGCCTCGTTAACCATGCAACATGGCAAAGCTGGGACTAGTCATTGTTAGAGGGGCTTTGGGAAGATAGGCAGATTGATGTAGTATTGGTAGAACTGTGACGTGGCCTAACCTTTCTTGATTTTAGTTTGAAATTATTTAAGAAAAGTGACTAAACTATCCATACCCTTTGATTCAACAATCCCACTATTGAGCATGTACTCCAAGGAAGTCAAAACATCAAAAGTCCAATATATTTCAAAATATTAACTATCAGTATTCTTTGTGATGGTGAAGACATGGAAAAAAGTGGGTGTTCATTGATTGAGAAATGACTGAAAAACCTATTGTATGTGAATATATTTGAATATATGTATAGTAATATGACAACTGTGTGAAAGTAAAAGAAACTGAAGATTTATTTGAACTGATGGAATGACATAAGCAAAACTAAGAGAGCAGTATTCATAGGGACTTCAATATTGTAAATAAAAAGATCACTAAGAGGAAATTGAACTCCAAATAATTGAAAAACCAATGAAGACCTGGAGAAGAAATGATTAAACCTATCACCTCTTTCACCCCAAGAAAAGCAGAGAGGGCCACTAAGACTGAACATTGTATACATAGTCAACAGACATTTATTAAGTGCCTACAGTGTGCCAAATACTGTGCTAAGCACTGAGGATAGAAAGAAAGGGGCATTCTCAAGAAGCCCCCAGTCTAACAAGGGAGACAACATGAAAATCAACTATATACAAATAAGACACACTCAGGAAAAATTAGCAATAATCAACAGAGGTAAGGCATTAGCGTCAAGGGAATTAGGATTCTTAAAGAAGGTAGGATTTTATCTGGAACATGAAAGAAGCCAGGAAAACTGGGAAGCAAAAATGAGAAGGGAGAGCATTCCAGGCAAGGGGCACAGCCAGTAAAAATGCTTGGAGTGAGGAGATGGAGAGTGCAAGGAGCAGCAAGGAGACTGGTGTCACCACATCAAAGTGTGTAGAGTGGGGTAAGGTATAAGAAGAATGGAAAAGATAGGAAGGGACCAATTTATGAAGGGCTTTCATCCACTGCCATGCTACTAACGTATGACATTGCCTTACAGATGCTGGATCCCCTGAGCAGTGCCGAGAACTCTGTGTCAGGAAGTTGCCAGTCCTTGGACAGGTCAGCAGACAGGTGCGACTAGCCACATTGCAGTTTTGCTTTGTTTGTTTTTTTTTTTTTTAATACAAGTAAGTTGAGGATGGGTTAGCTGTGCTTTTTTTCCTCCCTCAGCTCTGTTTGCTTTAGCCAAGATTCTCCCACCAAACTCCAAAACAAACTACCTGTGTGGAGGAAACTTCACTTTCCTGGAGAAGAAACTTGTCACTAAAAATATCGTGTTTTTTCCTAATTAGCCACTGACAACAGTAACCTCTATTACCACCCCTTGACTTCTTGGCTGGGATCCTGGGCAGAGCCTGCTCTATGAACAACAAAGGACTAAGCCAGATATAGTTCTGGGCCACACTGATGGTCTTCACAGTAAAAAGTTATATTTTAATCCAAGGATTTCTGATGAGGGAAAAAATTCTAGCTTACCAATACTACTAACCTACTCATCAGCAAAACACAAGTCTTTTTAAAACTAATTATTCATTTGGAATTTAGACTTGTGATCTGGTCCTAGAAGTATGTAGGCTCATTTTCCCATTTTCCTTAGCTTAAAGTATACTCACTTCCCCAGGTTCTGTTTTGATGTCTAAATCCTTCAGGTGCCATCCCTGTATATCCATTTTCCCTTCACTCAGCTGTCTATTCTATCTCTCCCTTTTCCTCTACCTCCAGGGGAGTTAATTTTCTAGGGTCTTATAATAGCAGATTTATTATAGTATTTCAAAAGAATTCTGCTTTAAAATATTAAATATTATCCAGTATTAAAATATTCTTCATGAATTCCTGTGGCCAAAAAAAATTATTACTTGGTGGCCAACTTTCTGGTGATGAACTTCCCTGTACTTTGCTGGGTTAGTTTTGGGTTAACAATCCATAGCCAGAGAAATTGAGAAAATAGGCATAGATAAAGAGAAAACAAAGTTAATTGGGTTTTACAGATGCAGCAGATTTCAGTGTCATATGCTTTACTTAGAGAACCTTGAAAATTCATCTAAAATTAATTCAAACAATAACTTCATCAGAGTAATAGTATATTCAATAAAGCCACCCCCCCAAAAAAAATCAGCTTTTCTGTATATCACCAACAAAACCCACCATAAAAAAATTTTTTTTAATCCAACTATAAAAAAAATAAAATAAATCCATCTATAAGATTCACCAATACAAAGGAATTTTATGAATACAGTCTATACAGAGATAAAAACTTAAATAATTAGAGAAAAGTTAATTGTTTCTGGTTGAGCTGTGCTAATATAACAAAAATTATAATGTTACCTAAACTAATTTACACATTCAGTACTATGCTAATTAAAATGCCAAAGAATTATTTTGTCAAACTAGGCAATATAACAATATTTATCTGAAAGAACAAAAGGTCGAGAATATAAAGGGAAATAATGGGAAAAAAGTGGAAAGAAGGCAAGAGCTAGCAATAGTATAAAACAGTACTCATCAAATTATTTGGTACTGGTTGAAAAATAGAAAAGGTGATCATTGGAACTGATTATGTACATAAGATCCAGAAGCAATTATACATAGTATCAGAGTGATTGATAAACCGAAGGATACCAACTATTGGGGTAAAAGCTTATAATTTGACAAAAACTGCTAGGAAGACTTAGAAAGCAATCTGAGAAAATGATTAGATCAACATCTTACAAAATGTGCTACAATAAGCTCCAAAAATCATGTAAATATAGAAGATCGTGCCATTTTGAAAACAGAAAGCTACCTTTTACAGCTATAGATTATGGGAATGTACTTGACCAAATGAGGGATAGAGAGTATCACAGGAAATAAAATTATTTTTATTATAAAAATTGAAGAATTTGTGCATGTATAAAAGCAATGCAGTTAGAATTATAAAAGAAACTGTTAACTGAGGAAAAAAATCTTAATAGCAGATTTATCTTGAAGATGCACAGTATCTAAGATGTAGAAACAATTAGAACAAATATATTAAAAACAAAAATATCCCAAAATATAATATCTCAATAGGTACAGAAAAAGCTTTTGACCAAGTACAGCACTCATTTATGCTTTTTTAAAAATACTTACAAATCATAGGCATAGAGGGATCCTTTTCTAATATAATAAAAAGTATCTATCTAAAACCAAAAGAAAGTAGCATGTGCAGTGGGATGTACTAGAAGACTTCCTAGAAATTACAAGAAAGATGCTACCTCTTCCATTACATAGTTTTACAAATACTAGTAATAACAGTAGGACACGAGAAAGAAATTAATGGCATAAAGTTAGGGGAAGAGGAGACAAAACTATCCTATTTACTGTTCACATGGTGATTTACTTAGAAAATCATTGACAATCTGCAAAGAAACTAATTGAGACAATAGCTTCAGCAAAGTTGTAGCCTATAAAATAAGCTAACCAAAGTCAGCAGCATTTCTATGTAATAACAGAGTCCAAGAGGCAATAATAAAAAGGTAAATCCCATTCAGATAAACTACAAAATGTGTTAACTATTTGGGAGTCAGTCTACCCAACTGAAGCCAATACTTGTATAGATTTAATTATAAAATGGTTGTTAAAGAAATAATAAACAATTTATATAGCTGAAGTAATATTCAGCTTCATGGCTAGGTTGTATCAATATAATAAAAATGATAATGCTACCAGAGTTAATTTATAGTTTTAATGCTATACCAAACCACCAAATGGGTACTTTACTGAGTAAAAATAATAACGGTCAGTCATCAACATTCACGTGTTTAACTTTAGTGACTTCAAGCATTCATATGATTTTATTAGTAACTTCATTTTCACTTTTGTGTTAGCACCCGTGCAGATTTGCACATAGGCATAGTAGAGAAAAAAAAAATGAGAGGCATGATACATGCCAAGTTTGTGGAGTGACTGGTATCCTATTAGGGGCTTCACTGGTCTTGTTCACCCTACTATTGTAAAGTAAAGAGCTACCCAGGCCTTTATTGCGTATTTTAATTTTTTATCTTCAAAATTCGAGTTTTGTGTTGCAATTATGGCTCCAAAGCATAGTTCAAGTCCTTTGGGCTCTAAGCCCAACCAGGCAAAGTCAGTGATGAGACTTAGTGAGAAAATAAATGTATTAGATAAACTTCCTGTCAAAATGCCTAAAACCACTGTTGGCTGCAAGTTTGATGTTAATTAATTGATAATTCATTATATATAGTACAACACTCTCACACTGCTATCTGGCATAGTGGAAGGTATGATTCAGGTTAAAAAATGTTTTAGTTTTAAGAATTTTATTTGATGTACAGTAGTTATGGTACTGTACATTTCATATGTTAGAAAAAGTGAATATTGTCTGAAATCAGTGTCTTTTTAATTGAGATGTTAGCAAAAAAGGTCACAGAATTATAGAGAATTACTAGTGAGAAAAAATGTTTTGCATGTTGCCAGGTTTATTTTGTGTGCTGCATTTTATGTGTTATTTCATGGTTACTGTGTTAGGAAAAGTGCATATTATCAGAATTAATGTTTTGTTATGAAATTATATGCAGAAAAGTATGTTTTCAGCAATCTCTGGCAAAAGATTACAATTTTTGGTGGTTGTGGTAATCTAACCTCACATTTCCTGTAGGTTCAATGTATCAACGTACTTGTTTTTTACTTTTGTGCTGTTTTCTAGGAACGTTACTCCCATGAAAGTTGAGGATTGATTGTAATTCATTTGGAAGAACAAAAGATCTAGAATATCAAGGGAAATAATGAAAACAGGACTGAAGCACTTCCATACCTCAAACTATATTATAAAGCAACCATCATCAAAATCATTTAGTATTGGTTTAAAAATACTAAAGTAGATCAGTGGAATAGACTACATAAGGGGGAATCAGATATAATGGAATTCAATAACCTACTGTTTGATAAACCTAAAAACATAACTCTCTATTTGATGGGAAAACTAGAAATCAGTCTGACAGAAATTAAGCTTAGAAAAACATCTTACACTAATAGATTCCATTACATCCAGAATAGATACACGATCTGAAAACTAAGGATCATGTCATTAAAAAATTAGAAGAGAAGCAAATCATATATCTTTCTCATCTATAAGTAGGAGATTAGTTCTTAATGAAAGGAGAGAGCCAATTACAAAAAGTGAAATAGATAATTTTTATTACATTAAAAACTCCCGCATCATCAAAATTAATAAAGGAAGCAATCAGCTGGAGAAAAAAAAAATCTTTGCATCATGTTTCTCAGATAAGGGCTTGGTATCTAAGATATATAGGCAACTAAGAGAAAAATGTAAAACCAAAAGCCATTCCCCCAACAGATAAATAGTTAAAGGATATTTAAAAAAAAAAACCAAACAGTTCTCAAAAGAAAGATTGCATTATGTTATATGCCATATGAAAGAATGCTTCAAATCATTAATAATAAGAGAAATGCACATCAAAATTACCCTGAGATTTTGCCTTGTACCCAACAAATTGGCAAAAGTGACAAAAGAAGGACATAGTCAACATTGGAGAAATTGTGGAAAGACAGGCCCCATTAATCATTGTTGGTGAAGTTGTAAATTAGTACAGACATTTTGGAAAGCAAGTTGGGGTTATGCAAATAAATTCACCAAGATATTCATATCTTTTGACCCAGAGATTCCACTACTAGATATCTACCCCAAGTAGGTCACTGACAAAAAGAAAAGCTCTGTATATACCAAAATATTTTTAGCAGCACTTTTTTGTGGTAGCAAAGAACTGGAAACTAAGTGGATAGATGCCTATTGATTGGGGAATGTCAAAACAAATTTTGGTCCTTGAATATTATTATTCATAATATTATCAATATGTAGAATATTATTATGCTTTAAAAATAACAAATTTGATTACAGAAAAGCATGGAAAAACTTAGATGATGTGCAAAGTGGTGCAAAGTAAAGTAGAAGCCAATATATATACATATATATATATGTATGTATGTATATATATGTGTATATATATATATATACACACGATGACTACAGTAGTTTAAATTGAAAGAACAGCAACCATGAAACAATCAAAAATAAATGTTGCAAAACTGTAAGGAATAAGATTAGCCCCCAAAAAAAGATATGAGAAAATACTTCCTCCAACTCCTTTGCAGAGTTGGGGGAAGGGGAACAAGATTCATGGTTGTGAAACTTAGTTTTTTTAGAGGTTAGATTTTCAATATTTTGATCATTTTACAGAATTTTTTTCTCTTTTTAAATTTTTTATTATAAGGAATGACTGGGGGAGGAGGGTGAGACATTGTGGGATAGCTCAGTGATGTACAAACAAAAATATCAGTAAAAATAATTTTTTTCTTTAAAAAGAGTCATTTCCCAGTAGATGAATGGTCAACAGATATGAACAATTCTCAAAACAAGAAATCTAAGCTGTCTACAACCATATGAAAAAAATGCTCCAAATCTCTCTTTTCATCTCTTGGAAATACTTTACTTTTGTCTTCAGAATTTAATGAATGGCAACTTTACATCCCACCTGGGCTGACTTCTCCTTTAAAATTTTAGGCTATGGGATCTTACCTATCCTTTCTCTGAACTCTTTGAAATCTACTCTTCTGAAGTACAGAGTACAAGCCAGACTATGCTCTAGTTTCCTCTCCTCTAAAACAAATCAAAAATGAAGTGGTCACTTCCTCTCCAAGGGCCCATCATTTCTACCCCAGGGACCAGTTCTTCCTTTTTGGTAAGAATGAGATTTGGAATTGAATTTTCCTTCTTTGGTTCCTCCGCTTTTTGAAGAATGAAACTATTTTGAAGGCAAGTAAAAAAAAAATTATTACTTCTGCTTTTGTTAGAGAATGAGTTCCAAAAATGTTTGAATAATTTAAGTCCCCTATCATTTCTATATCATACTTTCCTATTGTAGGCTTGTGATCTGTTTCCCAGAAATGGATGAGGGTCCATTTCACCTTTCTGACTAGGTATGTTCTAATATACTCCATTGAGAATATCACTAATGTTTCTGGTTCTCTTGACCTTCACCCAAATGCTTTCCATCATCCTTTCCTCTTCTTTAGCTCCTGTTCCCTGGATTTCTTCACATGAAGAAAATCCAGGTAAACATTAAAATCTGAAGAAACACATGATCTCCTTTATATAGAATACACTTCTTCCCCCACACTCCAACACACCCTTTAATCTATCTTTTTCCTCTTGAATAAAGTAAGTCTTTCCACAGCCACATCACAATCATGAGCTTTATCCCACCAAGTTTCAGTGATACTCATAAAGTCAAATTTCATTCCTTATATTAAGACCTCTAGTTTACCTTGCATGAATTTTTTTAATGTATTGACACATTTTGTTTAAACACGACAAACTCCTTTAAACAAACATATCCAGTAACCCTTCCTAAAGTGTATTTCCTCAAAACAGCCAAGAAAAACTCCCAAAGAGTGTGATCATGTACTGATAAATACATACAGCCCTGTGTCCTATCAATTATAGCAAAAAACAGTTGGCCTAAATTTTGTTGCTTCCTGTAGTTGACTTCATTTCCATTATAGTCTTTATGTTCATCATCATCATCTTGTTACATATACTGTATCCATTTGTGTGTACACATGATTTTTGAGGCCATGATTTTTATTGCTGGCTTTTCTCTTAGATTTGGTCTCATGACTTTCTTTCTAGGCATTTCCATCACTATTTTCATTCTTACCTTTCCTTTTATTCAAGGCAAGGTATTTGTCTACAACTCTTAGATTCTTTCTTTGTTGTCTAATAAGCAGAAGCTTAGAAGAGAGGTCCCAGAGAAGTATTGTCTGGGAATCCCTGGGATTGTCTCCTTTTCTGAAGCTTGAAGTGCTAGGCTGTACAGTTCTCATCCAGGCTAGTGTTTTGGACTGGGGTAGTTTCTTATAAATGGATTGTTGGATTTAGGCATCAGACTTAGGGACAGAAAGATTTGGATATAGGAGAATACCAAGCCTTTACTGCCTCAGATTGCTTGAAAAATAGTCAGAGGATCATCTTGATCAGATCCAGGGCAGAAGAGGGCTTTACTGCCAAGTAGTCATCCTCTGCTTTTTTGGACTCCTTAAGAAATTTTCTGAAAGTTGTGGTTTTTTTTAAAAGTTTGTTTGCTTGTTTCACTAGCCCATCCTTTCGGAAATCTCGGATGTCTAGAGCCCAGAGTTTCCCAGATAACAGACAAGAATATTCAGGTATGTTGCTTCAGATCACAGGTGACCACTCTCGTCAGAGATGTGGTGCTCATTGGGAAGAGAGAGTAGCAGCTTTGCCCCTTGCATCTTTCAGCTAGATGAACTAGACCAATTCAATTCAACAAGCATTTATTAAATAACCAACTGTGACAAAAATGAAACTGTCCTTACCTCAAGGAGCTTACTGCATTTCACTGGAAGAAACAGTATGTACACAGATATAAGTAAATGCAAAATAAGTGGGAATAACAACTGGGGGAATGGAAGGCCCCATGTAGGAGATAGTACTTGAGCTAAGGCTTGAAGGGAGATTGGGATTCTGAGAAGCAGAGAGTGAAGAAGGAGCATTTCGGACACGGAGGGCAACCTATACAAAGGTAGGAGACAGAAGATAGAATGTCATGTGGGTAATAGCAAGTGGCCAGTTTGACTAAATCATGATGAAGGAATAAGATGAAATCAATTTGAAGAGATAGGTTAAAGCCAGATTGTGAAAATGTGGCTGTTGGCCACTTATCCAGCAGCCAGTGCTCATTCCTGTGTGTATCTCTTTCAGATCGTGACACTCAGCTCTATGACAAAGGGGTAAAGGGTGGAACATATCCCCGTCGTTATCATGTTTCTGTTCATCACAAGGACTACAATGATGGTGAGCACAACCCTTCCCCCTGCTGGTTATCCTGTGCCTCTTCCTGCATGAGTAACTAGGAAGAGCAAGAGAAGCCTATGATCCAATTTCTTGTAGAGTTATCAGCTCCCATCGTGGTTTTGCCTAAATGACCTAAACTGAGCTGTCCCTATGTAGCTTCACCCAGGGTCCTATGTGTTTACTTTTCACTAAAGAGGTATGTTGCAGACTCTATAAACTGGGAACAGAAAAAAAAATAGCTTCCTTATCCTATTTTTTTAGAGAGAGTAGAGATCATCTTCAAGGTAGCTGCTCCTCAACTTCATGTTGATCTTATCCATCCTTATAACTGTTCCAGGGTCTCCAACTCTACCAAAAACAAAACAAAACAAAACAAACAAACAAACAGGGTCTCCACCTCTTTAATGTCTACCCTAGTCCTTTAGGAGCACAGGGAGTGTGACTACTGTTGAGAATGCTGAGAAGTGTGCACAGGGAAGCCAAGGGCTGTTTTGGTGTTGTCCCCTGGAGCTACTCTTTCCCAGGTCAAGCTGTGGCTCTCATGTCCCCTAAATAATCTCCTGCTTCATTTTTTTCTGCTTTTAGTTTATATATTCCAGATAAATTAGGCAGCAGCTACTCTAGGATGAGCTAGGTGGTGAAGGGAACTGAATATAGGTGGTTTTATTGTTCCATTTCATCCCACCCAAAGTCTTGGATGCTTGCCATTGTTTGAACAGCAAACCTTATGGCGAGTAATCTCATTTTCTCTGTCCTCTTTTTCCCAAATCATTGTAGGCCGGAGAACATTTCCCCGGATAAGGCGTCATCAAGGGAATCTGTTCACTTTGGTCCCCTCCAGTCGTTCCCTGAGCACCAATGGAGAGAACCTGGGCTTGGCAGTGCAATACCTGGACCCCCGAGGGCGTCTATGGAGTGCGGACAGCGAAAATGCCCTCACTGTGCAGGAAAGGAGTGTGCCAACCAAGTGTAAGGCTCTGTGTTTGGTAGAAGAGGCTCTGCTAGGGGGGAGAAAGGAAGGAAGCCAAGGAGGGCCACCAGCAAGAGTTCAGGGCAACTGAGCAGCTGAGCAGCGGTGTCACGCCTCGGAGGCTCTGGCCTTTATTTTATAGAGAAGGTTCATAAAGGAAAAGCAGTTTGCTCAGGCCCTTTTGCTCACAGTTAATAAATATTAGATCAGAATTCAAATTCTCTAGTGAACTTGACTGGATAATTTCCCAAATCTTCTCTAATACTAAATATGTGACCCTTTATATGAACTCCCTGGTTTGAAGTAAGACCCAGAGAAGGGAAGTGAATCAGTCCCACAGCCAGTGAGCAACAGAACTTGTACTCGCAATTAGATCGCCTCGATTAGGAAGGGGTAGGAGAGCAGCACATCCCCACCACCATCCAGCTTCTCACACACCGTGATAGAAGAACGCTTCTTTCTCCTACACCTTCCTCTCCCTGCCTGTCCTCCCCCGCCATCACCATGCCCCAGTCTACATAAACATCAACTTTTCTTGGCTTTTGGCTTTTCTTGGGATGCTCTTAGGCTCAGCATTAAACTGCTCTGGCCTGATCTACGCTAGTGGAAAGCTGAGGATTGTAAGGCATCAGAGAACCCAATTTTTGGACCTGCCTCCATCATTCATTTCAATTCAGTAAACATTACTAAGCACCTGTGCTATTCGACACTATGCTAGGCACTAAGGAATACAAAAAGAAAAATGAAACTTTATCCTCAAGGAACTTACATTCTATTGGGAAGGAGGTACTATGTCCATGCACAAACACAGTACAAGAAAAATGGAAGTAGGAGAGGGCACTCACAATTGTCAGGATTGGGGAAGTACTTCACAAAGGAGGTCATAGAGGAGCTGAGCCTTGAAGGACAGACAAGGATTCTGAGAGGTGAAGATGAAGAAAGTGTGCATTCTCAACACGGGGAATGGTTTGTGCCACTGCACCGAGGCTAGAGATGGAGAATGAGGTGTTAAATAGGGGAATGTTTACTGTGTATGGAAACCTCCAATAAGTTACCTGACCGTACTGGACCTTAGATTTTTCATTTGTGAAACTTTTTACTGCTGCCATAGATATATTTAAATGAAAATTAACACTATTGAAATGTGAAATAGCTTTCTAAATAAAAATAGTTGATTGTTGCAAGAGAATACTTTTACTTTGACCTTAGTCGTCAACACTTTGGCTCAACAAACTAAAGCAAAAACAGGGCATGGGCTTCTTGTTGACTAGCTAGACCTATGTTCCATTGATGAATTAGGCTGTAGTGAGAAGCCAAAGTCCAAGAAATCCCCCAGGACTTAGACTTTCAGCTGTTCAACATGTGGCATTTAATAACAGCTTCTCTGTTTTCTCTCTCCAATAGCTCCAAGTGCTCCCATAAACTGGCGTAGGGGGAAGCTCCTGGGTCAAGGTGCCTTTGGCCGAGTCTATCTGTGCTACGATGTGGACACTGGACGGGAGCTAGCTTCTAAGCAGGTCCAGTTTGACCCAGACAGCCCTGAAACAAGCAAGGTAAATAGAACTCCCCATCCTTTCCTCACAGACTGTGAAGGTCTTACCTGTCTCCATTACTTTTCTCATGATAAACCAACCAGATCTCTCTCTGCTAATAGCTGCTGCTCTGGGATGAGAACAAAAGTGGAAAAGCTTAAAGAATGCTTCCAGTACACAGAATAGAAGGAACCTGTCCATTGATAATGAACCCAGGAAACCCAGAGGGGAAAGTAACTAATAGTGCCAGATAGAGGATCCTATAGAGCCCTTATTCAGCAGAGAAGTCAGGTGTGGATTCCATGGATCATGCACCCCAGTTCCAAAGGGGAATTCAATTTGAAATTTGGTTATAACATAGAAGAGAGCAGAAGGGAATTCAGATGGAAGCACAGAGGAGCAGGACAGTTTTGAAAGTAATGTGTGGAATTTACTCTCTATTAAAAAACAAACAAACAAGCACCATGAAGTAGAGATTCATGGTTTCTTATGTTGGTGTTCTCAAGTCTGGAAATGCTCCCCTTTCTAGGTGTTAAAGTTCAAAATATACCAAAAAAAACAGATATAGTCCTAGATATAGTAGCTAGACGTAGTAGCTCCATGACCACTCCCCACATTCTGGACCAGAATTCGCACAAGCATTGTTGTCAAGGGCCAAAGTGAGCTGAGCTCTAGGACATATGAGGGTTCCTGTGAGGAAAGGACACTCTTCTAAAACCTTCTTTTACCAGGCAAAAAATTCTAATCCTGCTGCAGTCTGTAACTAACCTAGAGGCTCACCTCGTTATAGACTGTCCCCAGGTTGTCAAGAAATCCAGAAATCTCTATCTTTCTCTCCCTTAAGAAACATACTTGTCATTAACAAGAATAGGGGGTAGAAAAAGATAACGGATTTTTTTTGGGGGGGAGAAAGATTTCATGTAAAAAAAATAGCCATTTTGGGGGCAGCTGGGTGGTGCAGTGGATAGAGCATCGGCCCTCAAGTCAGGAGGACCTGAGCTCAAATCCGGCCTCAGACCAAACACTTGACACTAGCTGTGTGACCTTGGGCAAGTCACTTAACCCCAGTTGCCCAAAAAAATAAATAAATAAATAGACATTTTAGAGAAATTGAGATCTAAGAAGAGGAGAGATTTAGTTTGACTCCCAGTGGATGTTGCTTAATTAAAGGAGAAAGACACAGGAAAAGAAAATCCAGGGAAACTAGAGGCTATGGTTCTAGGCAGTGCCCAGTCCACATTGCAATTAGTTCCTTTTCTACCCCTGTAGAGAGCCCCAGGCCAGAGATAAGGTTTTTTTCACTTTTCCTAAAAATGTGGTTAAAATTAAGTATGTAATTAGAGCCCTAGGCAGGTATGGAGTTCCATTGGCAGGGCAATAGACAGATCTTAGGGGCAGCTAGGTGGCACCATGGATAGAGCACTGGCCCTGAAGTTAGGACCTGAGTTCAAATGCGGCCCCAGACCAAACACTTGATACTTACTAGCTGTGTGACCTTGGGCAAGTCACTTAACCCCAATTGCCTACAAAAAAACAAACAAAAAAAAAAATACACATCTTACAAGTAAGGCTTCCCACAGTCTGATAGGCAAACGGTGATGACTGGAAGACTAGACAGTTAGGATATGTGGGGACAACAAGGTTTCCTTCTCTCCTCCCCCAGGAGGTCAGCGCCCTCGAGTGTGAAATCCAGCTGCTGAAGAACTTGCAGCATGATCGCATCGTGCAGTACTATGGCTGTCTCCGTGATCGCTCTGAGAAGACCCTGACCATCTTCATGGAGTACATGCCAGGGGTATGCTAGGTGGGGCACAGCTGGGCACAGAGCTTAAAGGGGAAGAAAGAGTGGGTCGTCATGGGAAGTGGGAACCAAGATCCTGGCCATGGGGTTGGTAGGAGGCAAGGAAGTAGATCATTAGCATGCATTTGTTTAGTGCCTCCAGTGAACCAGGCACTATGCTAAGCCCTGGGAATACAAAGACAAGGCCTTCAATGTGCTTACCTTAGGCTGGAGAAAACTGCATGTTCACAGATAAGTAAATAAGAGATATATATTCAGTAGTTTCTTGGGGGCATTAGCAACTGGGAGGATCAAGGAAAAGCCTCTTGTAGGAGGTGCCACTGAAGCTGAGAGTCTTGAAGGGAACAAAGGCTCCAAGAGATAGAGGTGAGGGAGAAGAACTCCTATTGTGGGATAGAGAACAGCTTGTGTAAAGGTGTGGAGGTGGGAGATGGAATTTTATGTAAGAGGAATAGTGAATAGGTCAATCTGTGTGGGTTGTACCGTGCATGAAATCAGTCTGGAAAAAAACAGGTGAGATCCAGGTCAGGAAGACTTTTAAGTACCACACAGAGGAATTTGTCTTTTATCCTAGAGGCAATGGGAGCCACTAAGCTTCTTCAGCCAGGCAGTGAGTGGTCAGACTTGCATGTTGGGAGTATCAGCTTGGTAGCTTTGTGAACAATGAATTGGAGAAGGGAAGGGCTAGATTCAGGGAGACCATTCAGGAGGCCTTTGCAGTAGAACAGCCAAACCATGACAAGGGCTTGAGCCAGGGCGGTAGTGATGGGAGTAGAGAATGAGGTATGGATACAAAAAATGTTGAGGTGGAATCAAAAAGATGTCATTGAAGGAACTGGGTATAGTCAGTCTGGAGAAGAAAAGATTTGAAGGGCATATTGGCTGTCTTCAAATATTTGCATGGAAGAAGGATTAGACTTTTTTTTTGTTTGGCTCCAGAAGTCAGAACTGGAAATAGTGCAAAGACTTAAACTTAGACTTGAGGCCAGAGAAAACAATGCAGGAAAGAAGTATGCTGCCTCAGCAGTTGATGGGATCCCTCTGATTGGAGTTCTTCAAGCAACAGCTGAATAACCACTGTTAGGCATGAGTAGTAGACATTCTTTCCTGGATAAACTGGACTGAATAGTTGCTGAGGTCCCTTACAACTCTTCAAATTCTGAGATTCTTTGAAAACTTGGCAATTGATTTGACAGTTAGTGTCACAAATGTCTTGTAGGTTATGAAGCTATGTGACTGATAAAATGGTGGTGTCTGATAGATACATAGAAATTTTAAGGATGGGTGATTTTAGGAGGAAGTATACATAATGAAGTTTGTTTTAATCTTATTGAGTTTGAAATGTTTATAGGTCATGTAAGTTGAGGTGTCCAGCTGGCAACTGGAAATGAGGCTAAAGCTCAAAAAGAGATATAAAAGCTGGATATGTAGCCACCTGTATCGCAATGACAGTTTAAATCAGGCATTGACAGTTTAAATCATTCAGTGGGAACTAATGTGGTTGCCAGGAAAGAGTATGGAAATTAAAGAAAGAACCCAGGAGAGAAGTGTGGGATATATATACAATTAGGGATCAGGACATGGAAGATGATCCTACAAAAAAGACAGAAAAGGATTCATCAGGTGAGTAGGAATCTGAACTTTATTGTCCCTTGAGTTTAGTTAAACAGTGTCAGAAGCTACGAAATTCACAGAGAAGGAGATCTAAGAAAAGGCCGTTGGATTTAGTGATAAAGACATCATTTGTGACCTTGGAGAAAGCAGTTACAGTTGAGTGGTGGGGATTTAAACCAACTTGTCTGAGGAAGAGAGATGAGAAAGTGGAAACATGTAGACAGCTTTTTCTAGAAGTTTGTCTGTGAAAGGGATGAGAGGAGAGGCTTAATATTAGGAGGAGAGAGGATGATAATCCAAGGAGCAACTGTGGAAGATAATTAGCATAAGATCAAAGGCACAAGTAGAAGGGTTGGCATTGGTAAAGAAAAAGGTCTGAAACTAGGGCAAAAGAGGAGAAGGGAAGGGAATAAACATTTATTAAGCACCTACTATATACTAGACAATGTGCTCAGCTTTTTTACAAATATTATCTCATTTGAGGACATAATGGAGGAGAAAATGAGCAGTGATGGTAATGTGATTTGAAAGTTAAGCATAGGGGGCATCTAAGTGGCACAGTGGATAGAACACCGTCCTGGAGTCAGGAGGACCTGAGTTCAAAACCAGCCTCAGACACATAACACTTACTACCTGTGTGACCCTGGGCAAGTCACTTAACCCCATTGCCTAGCCAAAAAAGAAAAAAAGAAAGTTAAGTGTGGAATTGGGGAAAAGAAAGTTCCTGATAAGTGGCCTCAAATTTTTTTGTGAAATATGAAAATGAGGTTCTCTCTCAAAAGTAATGGTAGGGGGAGGGGACAGTATAAATACTTTGAGAAAAGAAGATTTGAAACAGGACTTGTAATCAGTGAATAGTAAAAGGACTGGCATGCAACAATGAAGGCCCAGTTTTGAGACTGAATAATATGAATTTGTAGTGATCCCAGCCTGCATGATTGTGACTTCTCTAGCATGTTAGCATGAGTGAAGGAAATAGATGATAGGGGTAATCCAGGGGTGGGGTTTGGAAAGAGGCAAATGGCAATAGAACATCGGGGCAAGAGATTCAAGGGTTGAGGGACAGTGCCAAGTAAAACTGATCACTAAAGGGTCAAAATTTTGAAGGGAGAAGAATAAGGCTAGAGCAGAGCTGATGGCTTGGAAAATCAGGGAGAGGTGGAATGACTAGGAACATAGCTTACAATGAGTATAGGGTTAGGAGAAGGAAAACAGAAGGGAAAGCTTCGAAGACAGGAGGTAATGGGACCAATAAAGGCATTTCAGAATTGTGGCTTATGGAGGTGGAACAACAAGAGTGATGATGAGATCAAGGGTACGCCTTCTCTGTGTGTGTGTCATTGCAATATAGGTGACTACATATCTAGCCTTTATATCTCTTTTGAGCTTTAGCCTCATTTCTAGTTGCCAGATGGACACCTCAATTTAGATTACCTACAGACATTCAGACTTAATAAGACTAAAACAAGTGGAGAGGAGGATATGTAGATCAGTCCTTTGGTAGACAAGCATTTATTGAGTACTAGTATGTGCTCGACATTGTGCTAAGCTATGAGGATACAAAAAAATGGCCAAAAAAAAAAAGAAAGAAATATATATATATGTATATATGTGTGTGTGTGTGTGTATGTGTGTGTGTGTATATATATATATTATATATATATAGGGTCCTTGCTCCCAAAGAACTCACATTCTAATAGAGGACAACATGAAGATAACTAAGTACATGGAAGATATATACAGTGCAAATGGAAAGGGACTAGTAGAAGGAGGATTGGGAAAGGCCTTTCTTAAGAAGAAAGTAGGATTTGAATTGAGTCTTGAAGGAAGCCAAGGAAGCTGGGAATCCCTGGTAGAGAGGGAGGGCATTTCTGAACAGCCAGTGAAAATCCATGGAGGTGAGAGATTGAGTGCCCTATGTGAGGAATAGCAGGTGAGCCATTTAGCCAGATCATAAAGTGCAAGGATAGGAGCAAAGTATAAAAAGACTGGAAAAGTAGGAGGTGAACAGGTTATGAAGAGCTTTAAATGTCAAGTTGAAGGCTTTATACTTGATCTTAGCGGTAGTAGGGAGCCATGGTAAATCAGTGACCAGGGGTGGGGGGGGCGTGGCAGGAGGGAGGTTTGTGTGAGAAGGAGAAGTGTGACATGATCAGACCTATGTTTTAGGAAAACAGTGGGGAGAGACCTGAGGCAGGGAGACTAATTAGAAGCCTATTGCAGTAGTCCAGGTGAGAGGTGATGAAGGCTGAACTAGGGTGGTAGTTGTGTGAGACAAGATTAGACAATAGATTGAATATATGGGATGAGTAGGAGTGAAAAGTCAGGATAACACCAGAGGTTGTAAGCCTAGGTAACTGGAAGGATGGTGGTACCCTCAACAGTAACAGGAAAGTAGGAAAGAAGGGAGGGTTTGGAAGAAAAGATGAGTCCCATGAGCATGTCGAGTTTGAGGTGCCTATGGACAATCCAGTTGGAGATGTCCAAAATGTAGTTGATGGTGCAGGATAGCAATCAGGGAGAGAGGTTAGGGCTAGATATACAGATCTGGGAATCATCTGCATAGAGTTAAACTTAAGATCACCAACATAACATAAAAGGAAAAGAGAACAGAGTCCTCGACAGAGCTGGGGGGTGGGGGAGGGAGGAACACCCATATTTAGTGAGCATGACATGGATAAAGATCCAGTAAAGGAGACTGAGAAGTTGTCAGATGATTGTCAGATATAGAGGAGAGGCAGGAAAGAGAAGTATTCTGAAAACCTAGATATGAGAGAGTATCTAGGAGGAGAGGGTGACCAGTGATGTCAAAGGTTGTAGAGAGCACAAGAAGGATGTGGAATGAAAGGTTATATGGGATGTGGTGATTAAAAGATCATTGGTAACTCTAGAGAGAATATTTTCAGTTAAGTGATAAAGTGAAGCCAGATGGCATAGAATTGGGGAATGAGAGGGGAAGAAGTGGAGGCAGCTAATGGAGATGGCTTTCTCAAGGAGTTTTGCCAAGTAGGGGAGGAGGGATACATGATGATAGATAGCTGTAGAGGATGGTTGTATCAAGTAAGAGTTTTTTAAGGACCATCAGAGTTGAGAAGGTTGGTAAACTGAGACGCAAGGCTATTGGAGGGGGGGTTTGGGGGGAAAGACAGTGATCATGTAAATTGAGGTCCCAAAGACCAAAGGAAGAGGATGTTGTGGAAAGAGTGATTGTGAGCTATACACGAATTCCTTAAGAAAGGGAAGAGAAGTGACCAACAGTCACCAGGATCTACACAGGGTGATATATCCAGATGGAGTAAATTTCAAAAGAGGCGAGGTTACTGTGTAAAGGTAGTTATGAGGAATGTCTGGAAGTGGCAGTGGGGTACAGCGAGTATAACTACTCCTTCCCTGGGCTTGATGTGTTGAGGGACATGAGAGATGGAGCACTCAATACTGGGGAAGTTAAATGAGGTTTGTGTGCGCCAAGGAGATGGAAGGTTCATGAGAGCAACTGGTTTAATGCAAAAGGTCATTTGTTAACAGTAGGAAAAGGGTTCCAGATTCCACAGTAGAAAGGGAGAATAAAGTGGGATAGAGACCTAGGAGGAATAACTGAACGTGTTTGGGAACAGGAGAGTGGTGGTCAGGTAGGAATGCTTTGGCTTAGGCAGTTTACCTCTCTGAATCTGGGGTTCTGAGTGGAACCATGGGGCTGTGTTTGTCCTGCTCATCCCAGGAGCACTGTTAATACTGATTTGATTATGCTCTTATTAAGAGGTAAAAATGAGGTACATGAGTAACAGCAGAAGGACAGATAGTCACCTGTTGGGATGGCTGTATGGAAAAGGCTCTAATTGCTAGACAGAGTTGAGGTGTGGTTGATTAACTCACTGCCCAATCTATAGCCAAGGCCAGTCCCAAAGCTTAGTTGATTAACTTTGGAGTAGGGAAAGGAGCAGGAAAGGGCCTCTTGAGGGTGGGAAGATCACTGCTTCTGGTCTTGAGGGGTGACCTACTGTCTTGGTGGATGACTGGATTTGATACAATCCCAGGACCATCACTGTAATGGTATGTCAGCTAAGTCAGTATGGTCTTCTGGGTTCTATATTTGGAAACCAGAATGTTTGTTTTGTTTTGGTGCCTCAGAAATAGCAATAGGTGTAAAGTTTTGGGCTGACTTCACTTAGCTATCCTTAAGCTCCCTGAGGCTAAATGGCCGTAGCCTTAGTGTGTGGGGGACAGGGAGCATTACTGGGCGCAAATTTCCCTCCCCTCTCCTCCCACCCAAGGGTCTTTTTCCACAAGGATGGGTGTCTTTGCCTATTGGCTGGACCATGGCAGGTTTGCCTTCATCCCTGACTCCCCTTCTTCATAATTGGAGGCCTAGGAAGGAAGTGATGCTCTGACTCCACTTTCTCTGATCTTCTGCTTGGTGGCTGGCAGGGCTCAGTGAAAGACCAGCTGAAGGCATATGGCGCTTTAACCGAGAGTGTGACCCGTAAATACACACGGCAGATCCTGGAAGGCGTCTCCTACCTGCACAGCAACATGATTGTGCATCGAGACATCAAAGGTGAGAGAGTGGTGGGCCGGAGCTGGCTACCTTCTTTGGGCAACTGACATCCCAGGTCTGGGCTCTCCCTTCCCATAATAGGAAATCCTGGGCTTGTGCCATTGTTTGGGGGAGAACAATAGCTTTGGATGAAGGGGAAGGGCACCTCCAGCTCTAGGACTGCAGTGACTGCCCTTTTGTATCCTAGGAGCCAACATCCTCCGTGACTCTGCTGGGAATGTGAAGCTTGGGGATTTTGGGGCCAGCAAACGACTGCAGACCATCTGTATGTCAGGGACAGGGATTCGTTCCGTCACAGGCACACCATACTGGATGAGCCCAGAGGTGATAAGTGGAGAAGGCTACGGAAGGAAAGCAGACGTGTGGTAAGTTTTGGGAATGGGTTCTTTCGATTCTACAAAGTCTCCTCTGGAAGCAGCAGGTTGGCCTGAGATGAGGCCGACACCCATTGTCCCCATCTTATCTCTGGTGAGTCCAGCACAGAGGCACAGATGACAAGGTTATCGAAGTTTTGAAATAAGAGAGCAGGAGGGCATTAGGCCATCTCTCTCCCACAAACTCCCACTCTATGAGAGGTCACAGTGGTTAATGACCTCGTGGTACTGGACTCAATTTGGTTCTTTTGGGTCAGGCAGCTTCTTGTGCATCTTCCTGGCTCCCGTAGGACTGTAGCAGGGGAGAGACGCCCATCTCTGGTAGAAAGGAGGAGTCTGGACCCAAGCCAGGGCAGCAGGACTCGGGCCAAATGGGTTATATGTTTCTTTCCCTCAAAAAAAAGTGAACTCTTTGTTATTGGGAAGAACCCAGGCCATGGAAAACATGCCTGATGTTCAGCCGAATTTCTTAAAGAAATAGGGTCTACTCTGATAAGCTGAATCAGTCTAAACAATAATAAGCTTCTAGCTCCTAGCCCTGAGATTTTCCCAGGTGGTTTCCATTTGCTTTGCTTGGTCTTAATGTTTATTCTCTGAAGAGACTAGCAAAGTGCAAGAAGTTACTCTGCAACTGGAAAGTTTTTGACTTCTCTTTAGAAACTCACTGATTTGATATCCTTTCTCCTTTTTCCTCTAAGATCAACTGTAGGGAATATATGTGGTGCTTGTGTCTAGGAAGCCTGTCTGTATCAGTAGGGGGTTGTAGTTAGCACCACTTCCTGCTCTCAGGACCCTCATATTAGCTTCCCCTCTCCCAGGCCTCCTTGGAGGCTGCCCTCACCCTTTTTCTGGGCTTGGCTGCCTCTGGGCCTGCTATGGTATGCCCTGAGAAAGGCGTGATGGTATCTCTTCTTTCTGTAGCAGGGTTGGGGGCAGCAGAGGGCTGACATGATGCTTCTTTCCCCCAGGAGCTTAGGCTGCACCGTGGTAGAGATGCTGACAGAGAAGCCTCCATGGGCAGAGTATGAAGCAATGGCAGCCATTTTCAAAATTGCCACCCAACCCACCAACCCCCAGCTCCCGTCACATATCTCTGAGCATGGCCGGGACTTTCTGCGACGAATCTTTGTGGAGGCCCGACAGAGACCTTCGGCTGAGGAGCTGCTTACACACCACTTTGCACAGCTCGTGTACTGAACTCTTACATCCACGCTGATGTTGGACCTTGGCTCCCTGGGGGAGGGTCATAAGAGGGACTTGGTGAAGTTGCTGCTTCTCCCTTCCAAGTCTACATGCCCCAGAGCTACAGTCCATCCTTCCTTCTGTCCGTCTGTTACTCCCTTCTTCCTGGGTAGCTGCAGAGTCAGAAGAGGGTGCCTGTGACCCCAGGACTGGGGAATCCCCCCATGCCTGTCAGACTGGAGGGATCCAGGTGTCCCTGTGCTCAGAGAGTGGTGTGAATATCTGTATTGCTCTGGCCTTAGGAGCTCCTTGGGTCTCTTCTCCCTTCCCTCCACCTTCCCTCTGAGCTGCATTCACTTGCTCTGTGTTTGGCATCAGAGTTCACGTTGGTGCTGAGGACACACTGGCTTAGAAGGATGTGAATAGTGTTATTTTTATTCAGAGTGTTATTTTGTTTCCTCTCCCAATGTCTGGAGACACCAGAGGACAAATCCCCTGGCCCACTTGGGCTCTGGCAAAGAACAGTGCCAGGACCCTGGGGTGAAGTCCACTGTTCCTCCAGCCAGTGGGTGGTGGAGGCTGGTGCTGCCCCTGTCCCTAGGAGGGCTCTGTACCAGGTTTGCCAATCCCACCTCTTTACCAAAGATGGACACAATGCTCTGCTGCCTTATTCAGGGAGAGGGGATACCTGCCCTGCCCTGCCTTGCCCTGTGACTCGCACCTTTCCACCTCCTTCCCACAGGATTCAAGAGAAGGAGCTGCTGTAGGGGAGGAGGGGGGGGATGTGTAGGAGAGATGGCACAATTTTTGTCAATGCAATTGTTTCTGTTTTACAAGGTGGGGTGGGGTTCTTTCTCAAGTGTTATACCATATCTCTAAATTTGTGCCCACTCCTGCTTCTTCCCACGTTCACCCAGGGCTGCCATGAAGCAAAGATCCAGAGTCTAGGTTGGAAACAGGCGGGAACTAGAAGTTTTGTGCTGCCAGTCTCCACCCCTTCTCAGAGAGTGCATTTCCTTTTCTGCTTAGGGGCAAGGGGTAGCTCAGTAGGATCATGATAACTTGTTTTCTGAGGTCCCTGAGGGGAGCTTTTTAGCAAATCTAGGAAGAATTTAGTTCCAGGATAAAAATGGATAGTGGCCCTGCTGGGATAGTGCCATCTCAGCCTGGTGTACAATAGGGCCCAGGTGCTGCTGCCATCTGTGCTCAGAACCATTGGCACCAACAACATGCCCTACCCGTTTCTATGAAGTGACCCTTGGCCCTCCTGCTTCTTCCCTGGCCTTGAGGGAGAAGAGTGGGAATGGAAAGGGAGGAGTAACATCTCTGAGCGGCTTAAAGCAGCTGTAAATACCTCAGCCTGGGCCTTGTCCTTTCTTCCCCCCAAAATGTGCCTAATGCTAAAGCCCCTCCCTTGACACCCATGTTCCTTAGAATTTATCATTGAATGGAAAGGGAAAAAATGCCAGGTGACAGGGGCTTATCTCCAGAGATAGATGGGGTATTAGCAGTAGGCGGCTCAGTGCCCAGCCATGCCTGTCTCCCCCCAGGCACCATAACAATCCAAAGCCTTCGTTGTATGTTGACGATGCACTTTTATGAATGTAGTTTCTATCGCTCTTTTTAGCCTTTTCACATCATGTAATGTGAGGCCTTGTACTTGTTAATTTATATCTCAGATCATATTTGATGGTTTTTATATATAGCGATTCTAGACTGTTACAGGTGACTGTTGCCTCAAGGGAGAGAAGAGAAAACGAAAGCAGCTGGTTTTGCAGAGAAATTTGCTGGTGGTTTGTGCCAAATGGTGCCTATGGGGCCTGGGCCTCTCTCTCTGTTTCCTTCCCTTTCTGCCCACTGGGACTCCTGTCCTGACCTCTGGGGCTAGTAAGATATATGATGCCTCCCTCCTGTTACCAACATTGCCACCACTACCACCGCTCCCCCTTGGCTCTGTCCTCACCAAGGCATGGACTGGGGACCTTCATCCTGACCAAAGCTACTTTATGGTAGCTTGGCTTTTCCCTCTCAGCCTTCATTCCATAAAGAGCCTCTCACTTGAGGTGAATTCACTGCAGTGAATCCTTTGTGTTCCCCTCTCCCTCAAAAAAAAATCCTTCCTATCACATCTCTAGACCTTCATTCAAACAGTCCTTGGGAGGAAACAGAACTCAGGCACTGGCATTGGTGAGACGATTCTGCATATTCCAGGTTCAGACTCTCTCTGGGGTTACATACCAACCCCACAGTACCTACCTGATAGAAAACTTCAAAAAAATTTTTAAACAAACCCTGAAACCCTCCTCCCCGCCCCCCCCAAAAAGACCCCAACACAACACTTGATTTTTGTGCCAAAAACTGTGGATATGCTAGCCCAACAGCCTCAGGATTGAGCTATTGCTTAATTTATTATTTTTTATTAAATTATCCAGATCAAAAACTGTGGGGGCATAGGACTGTTCTGAGCCCTAGGAGTATCAGGTGCCCTCTGCCCCTTAGCCCTGGCCACTCTGGGCTCTGCCAAAGGGCTGGGCAGCTTCATTGCAGGGTGCCATCATTTTCTCATCATTCAATAAAGCCTTCCTGCTCTGGGCTGCCAGCAGAGGCCCAGGACTGAGGCTGGTTCTTGGTCACCCTCTTGTGCACACATTAGAGGAGGAGCCAAGTGTCTGAATGTGGATTGTGCAGAAGAACTTGCAGCCATAGTTTATTTTGACTATATCCCGACTGAGGGCTTGCAGTGCAAAGCCAGGCCAGTGTAGCGCGTTACTTACAATAAAAGGATCATTTATACAAGCTGACTCTGGTTCCTCTGCTTTATGGGTAGGATAGCAGGTGGTGCAAACTCAGATGAGAACCTCAATATGGCCCCTCAACCAAGGGAAATAGGGATAGTTCTTGGAATAGGGGGTGGTGGTTGTGTATGATGATGTAAAATGTTCGTTACAGGGGTGGCTAGGTGGTGCAGTGGATAGAGCACCAGCCCTGGAGTCAGGAGGACCTGAGTTCAAATGTGGCCCCAGATACTTGACACTTGCTAGCTGTGTGACCCTGGGCAAGTCACTCAACCCCATTGCCTAGCCAAAAAAAAGATGTTCATCACAGCTAGCTATTGTCGTGGGTTCCCATGCTTCTGCGCCTCCCCTCAACAGAACCGTGGGAAAGCACAAAGTTTGTCACACAGAATATGGGCAGGAGCTGGGGTGCTTCTGGAAGAAAGTTTACCTGGCTGTAGCATAAGCTGGGGCGGGGTGAGGGGGAGGAAGGGGGAAAAGGAGAGGCGTGGTGATTGTTCTGCCCTCCCTCTAATCACATTTGGCGATTATTATGAAGTTATATATTAAGTATTTATTATATGTTATGAAGTTAACCTCTCACTCCTGACAGTAGCATCTGCTTACCACGGTGTCCTTTTTCAGGTGGGCGGGGGCTCAGTTTTCAAGGGGAGAGCGCCAACCTGGTGTTTGGGGGCCATTTCTTTCCTAGGCTGATTTTGGCTAATTCTCACATTGTCTTTCTGAGCACAGAGTGGGCAGCTCTGGGCAGCTAGTCTATCCTGGTTCCCTGCTGAAAATGTCACTAATATGTAACCAGGGATCACGTGGGCATGGGGTATGACTTCTTCCATTTCCCAGGGACCTCAGGTGTTCCCTGGGTCACCATTCGTTATGGTTCAGTACAGAGGCTGTACTTCAATGTGAGCTCCTTCTCGGTCTCCCTCACACTGATGCATCTCCCACAAACTGCCTGATGGTTCTTTGCTTTCAGGGTGGGTTTGGAGTCTTGCCTGTTCCATGGCTATGAAACCAATTGTATAAAGTAATGATGACAACATCCCTCTCTCCCCCTAGGCCTTCCCCCCTTTTGTCTACCCTGTGGTGACCAAGAGTTCCTCAAGCTTAGTTGTTCCACAGTCAAGTTTGGGCAACAGGGTCCAAGACAGGAAAAACCCCAGACTTCCTGCCTGTATTCCCCCTGGGAGTCCAGCTGCCCTTCTCCCCTCACCCCACCCCCCCTTCCTTATTTACTTTTGCTGTAACCCAAGCTGTCCCTCTGTACTTCCTGCCTCGGACCCCTTGTTAGAGGAACCATGCATCCCTGAACTGCTGGGCTAGCTTCTAGAGCCATTGCTCTGATGGAGCACAGAGGTGGCCTTTCATCTTTACTCCCTACAGTCTACGGGGGGAGGGAAGTACGTGACTTGAGGGATCAGACTAGGATCGCAGGTCTGGAGAGAAAAGCAGCACTTTGACTTTTCCTTTGGGGACTGAAGCTGGGAGCCCTGAGGACAGTAAGTAAAAGTGATTAAGAGCTTTGTGTTCTTGCTCTCTCAGTACCTGTAACACCAACCTTGAAGAAGACAGTAAAAGGGGGAGATGGGAGCAAAAGGAAACAGTAGGGGCTAGCATTGAGGCATGGTGTCCAGAATGTGGAGATGAAAGTCTGTCCCCTGGGACTCAGCCCTACTCATCAGGTCACATCTGGCGTAGTGTGTTCTCTTCTGGGCACATTTTCAGGAGGACCACAGTCAGGATGCTTAAAGTCCTGGAGATGGCGACTGTAGGGATGTGATCACTTCCTTTAAAGAGTTGCCATATGGAAGGCTTTCTGTTTAAGGAAAAAACTAAGGCTACTTGAGGGCAAGGGATAGTTTTGACTTCTGTCTTTGTATCTCCAGTGCCTAGTACAGTGTGGCACAGGGTTGGCTTCAGTTGAATTCTGTTGAATTCAAGTTGTCCACAAGTAGGTTGGGTGACCTTGAAGGGGAAAGGGGGTGTGCACTCCATCATTGGTCTTAAAGCTAAAGGTGGATGACTATTTGGCAGAGATGCTGTGTAGATAGATGGGATTCCCACTCAGGTACAAGTTGGACTAGTGGACCTCTGGGGGCATATAGTAGATGCTTAATGTGTCTTCTCATCTTTCCCTTCTGAGGGGGAAGTTGAGTCAATGGAACTTTGATGAACACATAACTCTTTGTAGTGTCTGCTCATTTGCTTGATTGGAAGTGGCAGGTAGGAAGGGGAATGACAATCAGTTTTCACATTGATCTCAAACCCTTCTATCCAGTGTGGTGACAGGCAAGCATGCATACACACACACACACACACACACACACACACACACACACCCCCTACATGGCATGGGGTGGAGGGGGCGGAGGTGGGAAAAGAGGGAGAGGTGCTAGGAAATATTCCTTGGGGAGAAAGGATTTCAAGAGTGGCTTCAATAACTGAAACCATCTAAAATAGGGTTTGGTTTTGTTTTGTTTTTACCAGGGGGTCCACACGACCGTCAAAGGGATCCAAACATAAATTTCAAGGGAAATGTGAACTTGGGATGGGAAAAAAGTTACATCTTTCTTTTCACTAATCTCTAACTGAAATTTAGCATTTCCTTCACTTATTTAAAAAACATTATTTTGAGAAAGGGATCTACAGGCTTTACCAGACTACCAAAGGGGTCCGTGACACAAAAAAGATTAAGAATGTCTGATTTAAAAGATTAATTTGGATTTGATGGTCCATGGGAGGAAAGGGTAGGGCCTGGAGTGGTGTGGGGGTGGGGAAAAAGTCCCTATTTGCCTTTACCTTCCTGGTCATCCCTTAAAAGGGGTCAGGGGTGTGCTAAGTCAGAAACCTGCACCCTGGATCTGCCAGACACCTCTCCCAGCTGTCATCAATCCAATCCCAGGCCTTTGATCAACTTCTTATCTCCCACACCTCAGGGCCAATCACACAGACACAAAGATAGACTCTTGGGTACATGTTTAAAATAGGTTCACAACAGTCAAGATGGGCACAGTGGGGGGAGGGAGGGCAGAAGGGGCAAAGGGGACTGGCTACTTTGGTCCCACAACCAGTCTTTATAGTTCACAACCTGGCAAGGGTTGTTTTAGTTCCTCTTCCCTGATTCCAGAATGGCAAGTAATATTTCCAAGCTCTCCCTGGGTTTACAGCAAGGGTCTACATTTAGAGATACATCTCTGCCTTCCCCCCACCCTACGCAGGCATCATCGCTGTGCTTTATTAGTCAACAGGGGGCACCTTAGCCTCTCCTTTCTCCCAGATGTCTTAGGTGTAACTCAGAACCAGAATGTGGACAGAGGTAGATGGGAGGGAGAGGGGGCACAGGGCCCTCATTGGCAGTGGGGAGCCCTGGACCCTGGAGGAGGTGGTGGGCAGGCTGACTCCCAGCTGGAGAGAAGGCACCAAGATAGGGGGAAGTCCTTCCCTGGGGCCTGCTTCTCTGAGGCCTACTGAGGGAAGGGGGTATGAAATCAAACTGGAGGGCCCAAGTGGGAATGAGGTGCCCCCTGGGACAAAGCGGGCTAGCACTGAACCCCCACCCCCTCTGCAGACAAAAGACAGCAAGTTAGCCCCTGTCATTGCTGAACCAGCCCGAGCAGCCCCAAATATGTCTTTCCCCCCTCCCCCCAATTCAATCTTTCCCAAGCTCCTCCCCATCCCACCCCGAAGGCCCCTCGGATCCGGGGTAGGAAGAGGGCATCCGTACGGCCTCAGGCTGTTTTGGTACCACCAGCCACCTCCTTGTGGGCCCAGAGCTCCTTGTGCTGCTTTCGTCCAAAGCCTTCATCATAGTTGCCTTTACTCTTAAACAGCTGCTGGAAGTGGGGTTTGCAGTAAAACTCTCCATGAAGTGCTGCATAGCTGCCCAGACTGCAAAGGAGAAATGCCCAGCCAGGGAGTGAGGGGGGGCGGCAGAAGGCACCTGTCCCTACCTCCAGCTAGCCCATCACCATGCAGAAAGGGGAAGGGAGCCTTGTGCAGTGCCCATGCCTGAGGGTGGGGCTCTGGACCTCACCCTCACCTAAGCTTGGTGTGGCAGTGCTTGCAGCAGAAGCAGGAGTTGTGAAAGATGAGCTTGTCAGCCACCAGACGCTCCATGGGGTAGACAGTTTTTTGACACGCTGCACAAGTTTCCTTCACCTGTGCCCGAAGGCTGAATGACTGGTGGGGGGAAGTGGGCACAGTATTAGCCACAGGGAAAGGACTACTCCCCACACAATATAACATAATTCCCATCCTCACTGTTCCCCCCACCCCATCTTGATCCCATGGTGAAAACACAATACCCCCGGTCTTTACCTTGGAGCGCTGCACTGTGTTGCCGCTAGGGCCGCTCTTGGCTTCCTGGGGACACAAGGGAAATTAGAACATGGCTGGGCCCACTGGTCCTGACATCCAAGCCTATGTCAAGTCTAAGGTAGCATGCCCTCTGCCTTCCCCATCTTTATCCACCCAGTTCGGACTATCTACTTTATGTTTCAAGGGGCAAACCAACTCCTCAATCCCACCATCCCTTGGGCTGGACACAATAGCCTCTACAAACTGCCCCAAACCCCTCCCCTCCACCCTGAGGGGAAAAGGGTGGTTAAGGTGGTGGTGGCGTGATGCTGTTACCTACATGAGAGGTGGTGGCCTGGGCCGCTCCAGCATCCTGAAACATGGTGAAGGCAAGGATGGGGAGCACAGGGGATGGGGGAGTGCAACCCTCAGCACTCTGCAAGGGGAAGTTAGTCAAGAGGGTGTCTAAGCCTGCATACCCAGCACCCTTCCCCCTCTCCACCTCCCTTTTTACCCCAGCTTGCACTTAAAGAGGTGGTTCGGAAGGGGGGAGGGTGTTGTTTACAAGAGAAACATAATCAGGGAGGTGGGGGGCTGTGGTTGGGACTTTCCCTAAGTCATTTCCTGTTGCTTTAGGTCCAACCACTTCCGCCTCCCACCCTCACCACCCTCTTCATTCAGCCCACCCATCAGTGAAATACGTTTGGG